TTTACGTCTTGAATTCAGAACATGCTTGCTTATCTTCTAAACAACGCTTTGCTTGCTAAGTACTTCTGATCAACACTTGCTTTCAAATATCTTCTGAACAACACTTGCTTTGAACTATCTTCTGAACATCACTTGCTTTCAAATATCTTCTGAACAACACTTGCTTTCAAAGAACTTCTGAACAACACTTGCTTTCAAAGAACTTCTGAAACATAGCTTACACATAAACTCGCTAAGCGTTAGAAGATGTATTAAAATAATCATCTTACCAGAGTCAACATCAGCATTTGAGTTAAAACAAATGGTTCTTTCATCAAAGAACTTCTTCATTTATTTTCTGCTTAGCACATCAAGATGCTTCTGTCAGAACATTATCAGAGACAGCATCAGCATCAACACTTGCGCTAAAACAAATAGTTCTTTCATCAAAGAACTTCTTCATTTATTTTCAGCTCAGCACATCAAGATGCTTCTGTCAGAACATTATATGAAACAATTAAATACGTTCATCAGAGTATCAAATATATAAAATATAATTTATTATTATCATCAAAACTCTGAGATATGATCAGAACCAATCTTGTTCTAACAAATCACACTTGCATTATTATTCCAACACAAAAAGTTTATCGTGTCGACAATTTATAGCCATATCATTATACCAACAAATGGTTCCTAATTATGGTCAATTGCGGAAAGTGGATCAATTAACACTCTAGTCATGAAAAGAGCTATTGACCGTTCAAAGAAGAATTGAAACAAGTCAAATTATGAGTCAAGAAATACAATTATTTTGCCCAAAATAATGAAGTGTCAACAATGTGTGAACCTGGGTCATAACTAGAAGACTTGTAAAAGGAAGGGAGTTGTAAACAAAGCAATTCCTAAAGAGGGGGGTAAGGTATATTATGTTACTTTTTCTATTTCAATTGTTTCTTACTCGTAAAAATGATTTAATCTATAGGAGATAGAATAAAATATTTATGCCACATAGGAGTAAAACGGGAACTTGAGGGATAAGGTACATTATGCAATTTTTTCTATTTCAATTATTTAATACAATAATTTTTTTAATCGCCTGAAGTCTGTAACAGACATAAAGTATGAAGAATGAAAAAAAACTGAGAACAAAGAAGATGAAGAATTTCAGAGCTGGAAATAGAGAAGTTAAAGAACATCAGTGCTGAAAACAGAGAAGACGAAGAACGAATGCTTCGTATGCTTCAATCAAATTTGAGTGTAATAGCAATTATAGCCCTAATTTTTACACATGTAAATAAAATTAGATGAAAATCAAATTAAAAATACCACATAGAATAAAAGATTAATGCCACGTTAGAGTAAAATATGAATCTAAATTGAAATAGTGTCAATTCAGAGATAGTACATAGAGAATTTTGATATTACAAAGAGGAATATTTTTTTTTACAAGAAATAATTGAAGCTCGCTTATATTATAAAAAACTGATGTATATTTAACCCAAATTTTTATTATTAATAAAATAAATTATAATTATAAATTATATAGATATTTCTTGATACCGTTCACACACTCACATTATCAATGGCTTTGTGAAATTTTATCTGGAATAGCCAATCCAAATAATCGGGTTTTGGACAAATAGTTATAATATTTAATTAATTTAGTTATTGATATACTAGGTGAAAGTACTGTACTTTTTTAAAGTTGTGATGATAATCCATTTTTGTGCGACACAAAACGACACCGTTTATTTAGTAATCGGTCTAGAACCTTCTCTAGCAGAAGACTAGAATAATCTGGGCACGTCGTTAAGAACACAATTCCATTTCTGAAATTCCCAAAACCCTAACTAAACCCTGCTATAAATAAAAAACCCATTTCTCAGATCTCTTTCACTTCATTTCGTTTTCAAACAATACACAATCCTCTTCTGGCCATGGCTGCCGCCACCGCCTTGCTCCGCTCTCTCCGCCGCCGAGATGTTGCTTCTTCTTCCTACTCCGCCTTTCGTTCGGTAACATCTCTTAAATATTCTCTGTGCTTGATTTTGAGCTTTGATTTGTTCCTTCTTATAAGGTCCCAATTTTAAAGTGTAGATCTTTGAATTTAAATCTTTTCAACTTGGTTCAGTAATAGGATTTACGTGGTAGCAGAAGAATAACTTGAAATATACTCCCAATTTTATGCTGTAGATCTTTCATCTTTGAATTTTAATCTTTTAGATTAGAAGCTGGTTTTCTTATTAGTATTTTTGTGCTAAAGTACTTGCATTAGTTGTTATGTCTGCTTTATAAATTATCGTGTTTTTGTGCTAGTCGGCTTAGGGGTTTCTTGCGTTTTGCCCTGCATGTATACAATTGTGTTTCTAGCCTAAGCTGCATAATTTGTTGTTTTTTTTTTTTTTTTTGAATTTGGGGACTTGATGAAATATGTGAACCATTGTTTGATATTATGGTGTGTCTATAGAATTGTAATTGATTGACTTGTCATATGAAGTGTGTTGCTGATTATTCTGAAGGAAGCTTTTTCTTACTATGACCTTGTTTTGCAGTTAACAAACGGCAGCACTAAGCCTGCATATGTTAGTCACAGTTGGTCAAGTTTGTCTCGACCATTCAGGTGATTTTTGGTGTGTTGGTTTTGTTTGTAAAGTGTAATTCTCTTAGAGAAGCCGTGTTTTCAATCTTGTATTAGAATTACTAATTGTATCTCTTATTGTTATGCAGTTCAAGGCCTGCTGGAAATGATGTCATTGGTATTGATTTGGGTACAACTAATTCATGTGTTTCTGTTATGGAAGGAAAAGTAAGTCATTATTGCTTTGATCTTGCATGTATGAGTTCCCATTTTCCATTGATGGTATTTGTGCTGACTTTTTTTTTTATCTTTTCAGAATCCAAAAGTTATTGAGAATTCTGAAGGTGCACGAACTACACCATCCGTGGTTGCCTTCAACCAGAAAGGGGAGCTGCTTGTAGGTACACCAGCCAAGCGTCAGGCTGTAACTAACCCAACAAACACACTATTTGGTATCAAGCGTCTGATTGGTAGGCGCTTTGATGATGCTCAAACACAAAAAGAGATGAAAATGGTTCCATTCAAGATTGTTAAGGCTCCCAATGGAGATGCATGGGTTGAAGCTAATGGGAAGCAATATTCTCCTAGCCAAATTGGTGCCTTTGTTCTCACCAAGATGAAGGAAACTGCAGAATCTTATCTTGGAAAGACAGTTTCTAAGGCTGTGGTTACTGTTCCAGCTTACTTCAACGATGCTCAAAGGCAGGCTACAAAAGATGCTGGTAGAATTGCAGGTCTTGATGTGCAAAGAATCATCAATGAGCCCACTGCTGCTGCACTTTCATATGGGATGAACAACAAGGAGGGTCTCATTGCTGTTTTTGACCTTGGTGGTGGAACATTTGATGTTTCCATCTTAGAAATTTCTAATGGTGTTTTTGAGGTATGCTAATTTATTTATTCTGTCATCCTTTCTTTGCCTGTCGGAAGTAATAGTATGAGAAACTTGTTTGTACTGATAACATTTTTCATATCAAGGTGAAAGCAACAAATGGTGACACTTTCTTGGGAGGAGAGGACTTTGATAATGCTTTATTGGAGTTTCTGGTTAGTGAGTTCAAGAGGACCGAGAGTATTGACCTTTCTAAGGATAGGCTTGCGTTGCAAAGGCTTCGCGAAGCTGCTGAAAAAGCTAAGATAGAACTGTCTTCAACATCTCAGACAGAGATAAACCTGCCTTTCATCACTGCTGATGCCTCTGGTGCTAAGCATCTGAACATCACATTGACTAGATCCAAGTTCGAGGCTCTAGTAAATAACTTGATTGAAAGGACTAGGGCTCCATGTCAGAGCTGTTTGAAGGATGCAAACATATCTGTCAAGGATATTGATGAGGTTCTTCTTGTTGGAGGGATGACCCGTGTGCCTAAAGTCCAAGAGGTTGTCTCAGCGATATTCGGAAAGCCTCCCAGTAAAGGAGTAAATCCTGATGAGGCAGTTGCAATGGGAGCAGCACTCCAGGGTGGTATCCTACGTGGAGATGTTAAAGAGCTACTACTTTTGGACGTAACACCGCTCTCTCTTGGTATTGAGACTATGGGTGGTATTTTCACAAGGTTAATCAACCGTAACACTACTATTCCTACAAAAAAGAGTCAGGTAATCCTTAAATCTACTGTTGATTGTTAAAATTGTATTTTTTCCTCCCAATTTGCTCTGTATTTTTGTTGTGGTTGAATGTTCTCCTGACTTTTGATATAACTGTTTCAGAGCTTTTCAACCGCAAGCGACAATCAGACACTAGTAAATATCAAGGTATTACAAGGTGAGAGGGAAATGGCTGCTGACAACAAAATGCTTGGAGAATTTGAGCTTGTCGGCATTCCTCCTTCCCCAAGAGGAAGACCTCAGATTGAGGTCACTTTTGACATTGATGCTAACGGTATTGTTACCGTGTCTGCCAAGGATAAGTCCACCGGTAAAGAACAACAAATCACTATCAGGTCATCTGGTGGACTTTCAGATGATGAGATTGACAAGATGCTCAAAGAAGCAGAGTTACATGCTCAAAAAGATCAAGAAAGAAAGGCTCTTATCGATATTACAAACAGTGCAGATACTTCCATCTATAGCATTGAGAAGAGCTTAGGTGAATATAGAGAGAAGATTCCTAGTGAAGTGGCAAAAGAAATTGAGGATGCAATTTCAGATTTGAAAAGTGCAATAGAAAGGAAGAATATTGACGAAATCAAATCGAAGCTTGATGCAGCTAACAAAGCTGTCTCCAAGATCGGAGAGCACATGTCAGGTGGTTCTAGTGGCGGCCCTTCAGCCGGTGGTTCTCAAGGTGGGGACCAAGCTCCAGAAGCCGAATATGAAGAGGTGAAGAAGTGAGACTGAAAGGGTTTTTTTGTGGTTCCTTAGATAACTGTTGTAAGATGTGTTGTTTTAGGTTAGTAGGAGTATAAGGTCACTTAATTTGGTATCTAACGGTGAGACTTTATTTTATATGTAATATTTTTGGAGAATTACGCTGGTTGAATAATCCATATAGAAATTTTTGCATAGTAGTGATGATTGCTTTCTTTTTAGTTTTACGCATTAAGGATCGTGTACTTTTTAGAATTTCTGTTATATAGGGTGGATTTACAAATAATAAAGGGTAAATAGTAGTACTAGTTAGAAGAAAGTATCTGAAAAATATAGCTGCAATTTGAACTTGAACTCTCTTGTCGAGCAAGTTTGTGTCCCTTATTAGCATATACAGAGCGCTTACTGCTCTGTTCACAGGCAAACTTTGGCACCTATTGCAAAGGATGTCATTAAGATTAAGTCCCGTGGGTTGTAAAACAAAAACAAAGGGAATAAAATAGGAAATCTGAATATAGATGTTCATAAATTCGACATAGGGAAGCCAAGAGAAGATCATAAATTACTAAGTACCAAGTTGTAACTTCTTTTAAGCAAATGGGATGGAGTGACCCAATGAAACCAAAATACATTGTATTTAGGAAATCAAAAATATAAAAGAGATTGCAAAATCCAGCAAACCTGAATACGGAAACAAAAGAAATTGCAAAAAAAAAATGCAATATGCGACTAAACTTGGATTATAAAAATGATGAAAGATTTTAACTATCAACACAATAACGAATTCATTAGTCAACAATTTCGTTCCATTTTGTCTGTATTTTTTTTAGAGGCGAGTTAAAATTTTAGGTCAACATCTTTAAATATAATCGTGTCGTTTCGTTCTGTTTATTTGTAGGCGCGCGCATGAACAAAAATTTATCTAACTTTTAACATTTAGGGATATAAGTCCACTCTGTCGTATTTCGTTTGTTCTTAAACTTTTGGAGTGATTTAAACGGACTGGGTATGCTTGTTTATCACCCTAACTACAATAACCAATCACAACAACTATTGACTAATCAAACCGAATCGCAAACTTGAGAATGAAGAAACTCATCACACAAAACAATATTAAACGAAATAAATTGATTACAAAAGTAGACAGAGTATCCATTAACAACCAACCAAACAAACACAAACAAAACTGATCTGAAAATGGCATAATCCACAATTTAGAATAAATCAAAAGCAGCAAAGTCATATCCAACATTGTATGTGAGAAGAACAATAAATTCAAAGTGCAGCTAACAACCACACGTTGGCGGTGCCAACGACAAAACAACCTGGAGGCTATGATAACTCATAACTCATCTAGATTAGAAGGTGGTGCGGAGAATCTTAACAATAATGATTTTTGTTACACCATCACCATCAAAATATTCATTGTGAAGGCAATATTTGAATTAAGGGAGAAAGAGGAGGAATGACTCTATTTTTAGAGAGAATATCTTCATAAATCTTATTAGCAAGAAGATCTATGAAATTTTGACACTTGTAATATAGATGTCAAGACTGATGTCCTAACACCAACACAATATCAAGACATATGTTATGACATTATCTGTTGACAAAAAATACTTGCTAAAATTGGAGATTGTGTAAAAAGTAAATTACAGAAAAATAAATAACACTAGTTTGGTGCAACGTCACCTACTCTGGGAGCTATCAAGTCAGGAAGGAAATTCACTATGATAGTATTAGTTTAGAGCCTAAACAACTCTAGTTTACAACTTGTCTCCTAATCACTATCTTGTGTAATTTCTATCTAGAAACCTTCTAGGTATTAAATTCTCCTCTCACTTTCAATCACCTCAGTGATAACTACAGTCACAAACCTGTGACTAGAATAAAACAATCAAATAAAAGATTACACTTCAAATACAATACTCAATTTTTTGCTTTAAAGCTCATGAGTGAGAACAATATTTAGTTTTGTTTAAAATCTTTAAACTAAGAACAATCAATCAACCTCAATGTATCTAAGATGCATGAGTGACACATAAATAACACACCAAAACTCTAAAAGATTCTCAAAATCCTAAATCTTTATACATCCACGATTTCTTGTTGGGAATGCTTGTTATTTTAGGTTTAGCAAGTCCTTATTTATAGACTATTGTAGAATGGGCTTGGACTCTTCAAATCAAATACAATCTTCTAATTTAAATCAACTGTAAGATCTTCACCAAAAAATAAGAATCAATCTTCAAAATTTCCTAAAAAGTCTCAAGGATCCTTTTTAATGAAACCAAATCAAATCTGTTTTGTTTCTAATAAAATCTTTTTGATCTGCGAAAATTAGTGAGATATATTCAATAGGATCTCACAAAATCAAATCAAATTTGTCAAGAAAAATAACAGTAACATCTGTTGTACAATTGGCCAATGTGTCAAGACATTTGACTCAACATATGTCTGGTATAAATGATAGCAGAACATGTCATGACAGTTGGTCAAGATGTTGTGACATCTTGCTCAACATCAGTCCAGAACTATATTTTAGCAAAATCTATGTCAATCATAAAACCATGGATCTAACAATCTTCCCCTTTGACAAATTTCGTCTAAAACAACCTTAGCACAATCTATTTTGGAGAGAGGAATAAAACCACAACCATAAAATACAAACTACATGCAAACATGTAAACTTTGTACAAACTGCAAGCATAAAAATGTATCAGAGATTACATTGCAGTTACAGATTACCATCTTCAATACTTCAGAAGATAGATTTCAAGACATGTGGTCTGACATCACACAACACAACTCCAACACAACACAAGAGCTAGACAAATCAGACAGGTTCATTACTCCGTATGTCGCACATAACTGGTACTCCCCCTCAAAGGAAAACTCAAATCACTATAAAATCCAATCTACCAAATATGAACTACCCAAGTTCACACATCAGAGATACATGTAACAGAAGATAAAATAACCTCACACATCAGGATTTTCATATCAAGCACATCAGGCAGAATGTTAGAACATCTGGTAAGACATCTTCCACACAATCATATCAGCAGTAGTAGCAGCATCATAAGCACAAACAAGCATGACAAACAATTATACTCCCCCTAAATAATTGTATACAACAAGTAACCGTAATAACTACTCTCCCCTTAGAAGTAGTACAATTCTACAATATTGCTAATCAACATGTGAAGACATGTGTCATAACATCCCGACAAATAAAAACACTAACACTTTACTTCCCCTTTTTAGCCAAAAATTGATAAAAATTAGAGTAAATGTAAAAAAAAATTAGAAGCACACAACTTGCCCACAAGCAATAAACACTTCAAAAAACTTCAGATGGAAACAAACAATCACACACAAACTTGAACAACTTTAGGTGGTCTTCCACCTCTTGCCCCTGTCAAAGATCCTTATGCACTCCTTGATGCTGTCACCAGCCTTTCTATCTTGTAGAGATATTTTTTTCCACCATTTATCACTAGCAATTAACTTAGGCATATCATGCCTTAAAATATAAGGAAAGACAAATTATTTGTTGCATTCCTCCATTCCTGTAATTGTTATAACTCCTAAATAGTGAAAGTTCCAAGCCCACTGTTCATCTTCTTAAATTGATTTTCATATAAATCTTCAGTAAATATAATAGTCAGTTGATCCTTAATGTCCCTATGCTTCAGAACAACACCCTTTCCTTCAACAAGATTCTTGATTAGTTGATAATGACTATCAACGTTCTTGTTCCAGCCATGTTGAATGGTATATCTGATAACCTTCAGATCTGTATAGTGTAATTCCATGACATTCTTCTTGACATTATACTCCCTCAAGATTTGTTTCACCCTTATCAGTTTAGAAAAACTCCCTCTTGTTCCATTGATGAAATTCAAGATCATCTTTTCTTGAATAATATGACTAATCATTGGCTCAAGCTTAAAAATAAGATATGAATTTGATATTTTTTTTATTGAACTCAGTGATGTCTTCTTCATTAATATGGCTTGAAATTAGATCCTTGGATTGTTCTATCTGGCATGTAGTAGAGAAACCATTGCTGACTTGAGAACTTGCTGATTCAATACTTGTGAATTCACAAATTACCTCCCTTACTGTCTCATCAGGCTTCACATAGGATGTTCCAGCATTGTCTTTAACATCCATCCTTTGTTCAGTAATTGAATCATTAGTTTTCACACTGATAGATTTCATTGTCATTCCAGTTCTGAAGTTGGAAACTCTATAAACTCTCATGCTTGAAGAGTAACACATGAATACCTATTCATCCCTTATGGGATCATTCTTCCCCTTTTGATTTTTGTAAATCAAGACATCATTTACTTCCAAAGGTATGAAAGTATTTGACTGTAGGCTTACTTCCTTTTCATAACTCATAGAGAGTAGTTAAAGTACATCCTCTCAAAGTAACCATGTTATGAATATAGCATGCAGTATTCATATTTTCAGCCCAAAACTCCAATGGAAATTGCTTAGCATGAAGCATGACTCTAGTTGACTCATGTATAGCTCTAGTCTTTTGCTCAACAATTCCATATTCCTGAGAAGTAATGGAACAAGAGAATTCATGACTAATACCTTCAGAATAAATTTTTTAGAAAATTTTGCATTCTCAAACTCCTTGCCATGTTCACTCTAATCTTGACAATCAAACTATTCTTCTTCTCTTGAATGCTTTGACACAGATCTTTGAAGACTTCAAAAGTATCTGATTTTTCTCTAAGAAAGTTCATCCAAGTATACCCAGAAAAATCAACTATAACCATATAGACATGTCTCTTTCTACTCAGGCTTTCTATTTGCATTGGTCTCATTATATCCTTATGAAGAAGTTCCATCATTTTAGAAGTAGTATGTTATAACATTGGGTGCGACATCATAGTTTTCTTTAGGAGTGTTCATGGATCGGTTTGGTTTGGTTTCAAGAGAAACAGATATCCGAACCAATGGAAAAAAAATTATCGGTTTAGATTGGATTTTTATATTTTTCCAATAAAGTCCAAACCAAACCGATCCGAAAAATAACAGATTGATTTGGATTGATCGGATACATTAAAAATAACTTTACAAAAATATTTTTAAATAATTATTTATTTACACACTAAAATATGAAAAATTAATATTGATTATTGAACACATTACACACGTTTCTTTAAATAACTTATGACCACCATAGTCACATAGCTGTTGAGGTTAAGTTTTGTTATAATTGGTGTCTAATCGAACTTTAGTGGTGATTAAATTCTGAGAAGCTGTTGAGGTTGGAACTAATTGAAATTGAATCGTTGTATAAACACACTTGGTATTTGTAAAGTGATTAAGTATTGACGTGATCAAGTTTCAATAAAAGTATAATTCTCATATTTTCGCTCTAAAACCTTTCGTGTGCATTTTTAAAAACCTTTGATATTCTATTTTTGGAAAATTAGTCAGAATTTTATAACAACTCTTTTTGTCTATCCACCCTCCCCCCATCTAGAATATTTTCCTACTCCTATTCTCACCAACAATTGGCATCAAGAGCTAGTCTTTTGAGTAAGTCTAATCGACTCCAAAAGTTTTGAGAATATGGCGGACGATGACAATCCAAAAGGAGCATAATAGAGCATTAGTTTTCAAAGGTTAAAATTATACTTATTAGAGAGCAAACATATGCATACACTTACTATTAATTGACACAAAGTTATGGTGTACTGTCATCAAGGGACCATATATCCCAAAGCGTGTTGAAGATGTTGTTAAAATTCCAAAAGAATGGACAAATGATAAAACCAAAAAGGCTTCATATGATTTGAAAGCAAGAAACATACTTATCTCCACTTTAAGTACGGAATTATTCTATGTTATTTCTCATCATACGAGTGTTAAAGGCATGATGTCATACCCTAAATTTAACCATACATTTTTACTTACTCAACATAGCATGATTATTCCATTTGATCATACATTCCATCAATAAGAAGCACTCATCAGATTTTAGGTAAAAACCTAAGAGATTTGACATTTTATTTGATCTTATAGCATGCATTCATCCATTGTATCTGGTGGTTAAGAAGTTAAGAGTATCTCTTAATCTCAGTGCATCATTTATTCCATTGCGTCATTCAAAGGCTCAAGTGGATGAGGAGTCAGGAGTACTTAATTTCATCTGTGTCTTTGAAAAGTATCATTGTCTTTTTATTAAGAATTAGAGGTAAATAATCCAAGAATTGACTTTTTGTAGTTAGTTCTTTATTCGTAAGTCTGCTAGTGTAATTTTATTGCATCACATCTCAAATATTTAGAGGGATGACAACCAGGAGAAGTATTATTTTTATCTAAATTTTTGTAAAGTCGTTACTATTTGGGAATCAGATGCAAATGGTCTAAGAGTTAAATTTTTACATTTTTTCTCTATTCATCAATCATCTGCATCGCTAGCAAGTTTTTCAGTTCATTTTGGTAGTAAATGTCAAAGTCAAAGGTTGATTTTGGATGACTTTTATTACAAAGACTTGTTGACAGTTGCTTTCCAAATAATTTGCATTCATTTGCATTCTTGTTTTTAAGCTAATGAGAAGCAATATTCCCATATCTAAATTGGTGCCTTTGTCCTCACCAAGATGAAGGAAACCGCAAAATCTTATCTTGGAAACACAAATTCTATGGTTGTAGTATTTGTTCCAGCTTACTTCAACGATGCTCAAAGGAAAGCTACAAAAGATGCTAGTAGAATTGCAGGTCTTGATGTGCAAAGAATCATCAATGCGCCCAGTGTTGCTCCACTTTCATATGGGACGAACAACAAGGAGGGTCTCATTGTTGTTTTTAACATTGATTATGGAATATTTGATGTTTCCATCTTAGAAATTTCTAATGGTGTTTTTGAGGTATGCTAATTTATATATTCACTACTACGGAAAAGGGCTTTTAAAGCGCTTATTTTGGCCTTTAAAAGCGCTTAAAAGCGCTTTAATAGCTTGCGCTGGCGTAGGTAACAAAAGCGCTTCTAAAAGCGCTCTGGTAGACCCCCCCTTTAAGAGCGCTTTCCTGGAAAAAGCGCTCTGGTAGGACCCCCTATAAGAGCGCTTTCCTGGAAAAAGCGCTCTGGTAGACCCCCCCTTTAAGAGCGCTTTTCCCAGAAAGCGCTGCCAAAGACCAGTAAAAAAGCATAAAAAATTAAAAAAAAACGCAGCATACAAAAGCGCTTTTGGAAAAGCGCTCTGGTAGGCCCCCCTATGAGAGCGCTTTTTCTGGAAAAAGCGCTCTGATAGGCCCCCCTATAAGAGCGCTTTTCCAAAAGCGCTTTTGTATGCTGCGTTTTTTTTTAATTTTTTATGCTTTTTTACTGGTCTTTGGCAGCGCTTTTACTAAGAAGCGCTTTAGTAGGTGGACCTTTAAGAGCGCTTTTTAAAAGCGATGTCGTTTCTAAATGAGGTATTTTTATGTGCAGCCTATAATTTAATCCTCCCAGTCGACCTGTAATGTTTTCGACCTGTAATATTTTCGACCTGTAATATATTTTTGACCTGTAATATATTTTCGACGCTATTATTTCAGCCATCAGTAAGACAATATATATACTAATATAATACCATTATAATATCCAAAATTATATATATACATGATTACATCAATAATATTATAGTTCAAATCGACACAAATCCTACATGAAAAATTGCTTAATATAATATTGACACAAATCTTCTTTAATTTCTTCCAACTTAAGCTTCGGGTACCCAGCAGCACGGAATTCGTCAAGGTACTACAAAACAAAAACATAATATAAATGATATATTTAGTTAAATGTAATAAATTATATGAAATTATCTTAAGTTATAAATTCATACCGTGAGCGGAATCTCTAATTGATTCGCCTGAAGGATTTCTTTCATGAACCTCAAAACAAAGTATCCGCAATCATGACTGTTTCGCTGTTGCGGACACTACATAATAAAACAAATAAGATTCTATAGTTGTCTTGTTTTACCAAGTAGCATAAATATTATAAGCAAAATTGTGAAAAGTAATGTACCTGCACTTGGATCCAAGTGATGTTGTTTGATTTAGTCCGGGATACCTGTGCGTCCCGTTGACTACGGAACACTTGTATTGATCTAATTATTAAATATATAAAAGCATATGTTTAGATCAATCCCACAAATAAGAAAATATATAAATATACACGAATATATATTTAGAACGATCCCACTTACAAATCAACGATTTCCTTCATAGCCGGATAATTGGTCCATTCACCATTTACCGAATTCAGATAATACACGACTTCTCTTATCGGGTTGATAGCAAGCAGCAACCAGTGTGCTCTATAAATTAAAACAATAGGTTATATGAAAATTTTGCTATACACAAAAGAAACAGAGATTAGATGAACCAAGAATGAGAAACTAACCCTACTGGTCGGGTATTATACGCCCAAAGATGCAGACTTTCTGTATTGCCGGTGGACATGAATCTATCTACTAAGCGCTGTCTAACTGATTCCGGTTCCGAAGCAATTGTCATTCCGCTGCAATGGGCGGAAGACACGAAACGGAATCTGTTAGACAATGCAGTCCCGCGCAACACTCTGTCATATAACAACCTTAAATAAAAACATAATAAACATTAGATTATTTTCATTGAAATGTGTAAATAAATTATATTGTGGGACTAATTAAATAATATATCGGATGAGTGAATATTACCGGATGTATGAGTGCATATTACTGACGCCTAGTTGATCATGCCTAAAAATCTCTTCCAAGTCATCAATTGTAATATGTGACGGGAATTCAATACCGAAGACACTTTCATCCATGTTGATTTCACGTAAACCACCATCCTTCAAATCGGACATATCAACCATTGTTGCGAGTGTCGAACGGTATCGAGGCACAAAAGCACCGCCTTTTTTTGCCGCTTGCTTCGGAGGACCAGTGGGTGGTACGCTACGAACCTGCTGCGTCACTTGTTGTGACTCCCGAGCGGATGCCTAAAAATCATATAAGTTAGGTAAAATATAAAATCATGCAGATTTAGATTCAGACTATATATTAACACTTTAAATGTACCTCTTTTAGTGATGCAACAGACTCCTCCTCCTGTAAAATCCCTTTACCCTTAATTGCGGGTTTTATAGGAGCAGTCTAAAATTAAAATGTAAAAAATAATTAATAAACGGTTTAGAATTGACATTCGAAAACTAAATGATTCATAATCGTTTTCAGTATACCTCATCACTAATGGTAATGAGCTCCGAGGGCCATGCAACAAATGATCCTATTGCATCTCGCAGCAATGTCGTCTCTGAGACCATGTCAGGTACCGGTAGAATCGCATCACGATCTAATACAACATCCACCGATACTTTCAGGTGTCCATCCGGGAGCGGTCTGTGGTGAAGTAAATCTCCCGAAGTGTTGTGCACTTTTCCCTTTCCAACTAGTCGATAATTCGGTGACGATAAGTATAGTTGGCAAGATGAAATGCCCTAAACAAATAGAAAATATAAAGTCATTATCATTAATAAAATAGAACAGTTTGTAAGGAAAAAAACTTATAATTACCTCGGGAAATTTCTTTTGATAGTTGATACTAGCCTTATCACTAGTTTCTCTCACCGATGAAGTGTTGCAATTTTCTCTCATATACATATCTTTATCTCTTTGCAATTCAGAGACCTGTGCTTGCAATTCCTGCAACTTTTGCAACACTTCTTCATTGGTAAGATTTGATCTTCTCCTAGAACTCTTATAAAAAGAGGTTGGAGTCACACCATGACCCTTACCCCTCACCCGACCGGGATACTCGGGAGCATCTAGTACTCTACTAAGTACGCTCTCCTCACCGGTGGATGCCGATTGCGACAAGGTCTCCTGTAATTCATTTACATTTAAATAATTATTAGTGGAGATAAAAAATCATTTATATATTAAAAAACATTTGATTTAATTAAAGACACAGTATTATACTTACACATTCAGTATAAACTCTCTGAACATCGGGATCGACAGCTTGATTCTTGCCCACACGAGCTTCCTTCCACAACACATGTACAGGAAGTGAAGCTTCCTCACTTTTAGTCTCCTCTAACTATGCATTGACACAAACGATAAAATCGTCAATTAAAACATGCACATGTAGACAATTAATTAAAACGCATTTCTATTTACTTACAATTTTATCCTCTAAGCGTGCATATCCCAAACGCCCTTTTTTGTATGGATACACGGGTTTGGATGCTCTCTCACTATTCGTGGCACTCTTTTTCTGAAAAGCTTCATCTCTTTGCTTTACAAACTCAGCCCAATCTGCTTCATCAATGAAGGTCGCATACTTTGTTGGCCGTCCCGGTGCCTCTTCAAGAAATTTTCCATCTTTATCCTTAAGATAGGTGTTTGTCAAAAAACTTTTCCACCCTCTATATCTTTTGCCGGCCAAACTAAGTATGTAGCTTTTACGTTCATCTGGTATCTCAAAAGTCCTCTGCAAAAAAACGTACGCATAGTGTGTTAGTATAAGTAATTTAAACAATTTATCGTCAAGATAATAACAACAATTAACCATATATGATATATACCTGAAGCTCTTCCCAAATCGCTTGTTTTTTCTCCTCCAATTCTAAATTTTTCGTTTTCGATTTCCAGGTAGCTACGGAGACCGGAATATGCATACGGACAAGTGTACCAATATAACTTGTCAACTTTGCAGAATTAGGACCAATTGGTTGTTTATCAGAATTCCATTCCAATCGGTATACTAATCCTTGGTCTCTATGTCGAATGATTCCCTTCATAATAGTGATGCCTCGTGCAACCTCTTTTGCTTCAGTATCAGGTGGAGCATTTGTATCCGAAGCAACTCTTTCTTGTGAGTTTTCTTGTGAGTTTTCAGGTGGGTTTTCAGGTGGAGCATCTCTATCTGGAGCCATTGAACCTGTATCAAACAAACTAAAGCACATTAGTACACTATTAACACTAACTTTATATGAGAAACATTTCAAAAAATTACAACATAGAAGTTATTATAAGAAGAAAAAAAATCAATCCATTATTAATTGTTCAACGTGAAGATATTCATCCCTGCATCATCTGCCAAACATACCCAATGTATGCTTTCCTTCTTAAAAAAGAATTTAAGTTAAGTAGAAAAAAATTACTTTTTTATTATTAATAAAATAAAAGCATGTGATACAATCAATATTACTTTTTCATGATATTTCTTTTAGGCAAAGATGAGGGGATGCATACTCTATCAATATTAAAAGCATGTTCATTTAATAAATCTTAATTTTTAGTCAAATTGTTTTAAAGTACAAATTGTAAGATTTTCACATATTCGATGCCAGATTACTAAATATAATAATTAAAAAATATAAAAATGAGACCATTACTAAACATAAGCGAGTGAAGGTTATCGAGACCATTACTTTATCACTAACGTCTCTTTCTTTTCTTGGTAGGATTGTGTACTACGCGTCTCTTAACAATGCGGACGGTTGGATTGATCCAAATACCCTCATTATGATCATTTCTAATACAAGATTCATTCTCATTTTGATCGTTTCTTGTACAAGATTCAATGCCAACACCAATATCACCTTGATCTTCAATTTTTTCATCAACTATTTTGTTAGATAAAAGCACTATAGACCATTTCGTACTTGTCGGATCATTGACATAGAACACTTGTTTAGCTTGAGAGGCTAGAATGAAAGGCTCATCTTTGTACCCTACCCTATTGAGATCCACTTGTAAAAATCCTGACTTATCCATTCGTACGCCACTATTATTTTCAACCCACTTGCAACCAAATACAGGAATCTGAAACTTCGCGTAATCAAACACCAAAATGCGCTCGATAACCCCAAAATATGACAAATTTGCAAATTTCGGATTTAAGTCATTCGCACTTGATATGTGCATAGCTTCAGCTACCAAGGTAACACCACTATTTTGCATAGTACTTTTATCATCCTGTTCTTTGGTATAAAATGTGTATCCATTAATTGCGAATGCGCTATAAGAAAGCACAATTACAGATGGACCATAGGCTAAACATCTCAACCTTTCTGTTACTGAAGCAGGATCTGAACGATACTTTGAATAAATATGATCTCTAAACCACGGTATGAAACTTCGATTGTGCTCTCGTACTATCCAGTTCTCATTTCTATTTGGATTTAAATCTCGGAGAACAACTTTGTGCATTTCAACAAACGGCTCAACCTCAATCTCATTGTGCAGAACATACAAGTGCACTTGATCCCGTTCGACCATTGATACTGTCACAACTTTATTTCCAATTAGCCTTTTTCCTTCTTTTTTTTCGACAATATGAGATTTGGGGAGTCCAATTGATTGAACGTTTGACAGATATTCAGTACAAAACTCAACCGCTTCTTCAGCAACGTATCGCTCGGCAATACAACCCTCTGGTCGACTTCTGTTTTTCACGTACCCTTTTAATATTTTCATATAACGTTCAGCAGGGTACATCCATCTCATATAAGCTGGTCCGCACAGTTGTGTCTCTTTCACAAGATGAACGACTAGATGAACCATTATGTCAAAAAACGAGGGAGGAAAATACATTTCAAGATCACATAAAGTAACAACTATCTCATTTTGCAATGTTGGTAAGATCGCGGGATCGACCACCTTACTGCAAATAGACCTGAAGAAGAAACACAGCTTAGTTATTGCGCTTCTTACTTTTTCTGGCAGAATAGAACGTATACCTATTGGTAAAAAATGTTCCATTATAACATGGCAATCACGCGTCTTCAAACTCTTTAACTTGAGGTCTTTCATGGACACAAGTCTTCTAATATCTGAAGAGTAGCCTTCTGGAACTTTTACTTCACTGAGGAACTTACACAATGTTTTCTTCTCCTTTCTAGATAGAGTGTAAACAGCAGGTGGCAGATATGTTCGTCTTCCTTTCGTCACGGGCCCCAATTCAGTTCTCATCCCCATGTTTACCATGTCATTCCTTATGTTAACGCCATCCTTAGACTTTCCTTGTATATTGAGTAGCGTACCTATAACGCTGTCAAATACATTTTTTTCAATATGCATAACATCCAGGAAATGTCTTACGTACAACGACTTCCAATATGGAAGTTCAAAAAAAATTGACTTCTTCTTCCACCCACCCTTGACAATTGAATGTGCAAAAGGCTTGCCAAACTGAGTGCTCACATCTTTCACCTTTTCAAAAATTTGATCACCTGACAAAAAAGGCGGGGCTGTACGATGTTCGGCCTCTCCATTGAATGCTTTTCTCCACCCACGGTAGTGATGATTAGAATTTAAGAATCTACGATGGCCGAGAAAGACATTCTTCTGACAAAGCGCCAATCGTGTCGTATCGGTTTCATCTTCACAAACAGGACACGCCTTTTGACCCTTGTTGCTGTACCCTGATAGATTTCCGTATGCTGGAAAATCATTAATTGTTCCAAACAACATCGCCCTCAAGTTGAAACTTTCTTTCCTATACCCATCGTAAACCTCCACACCTCTCTCCCACAAAAACTTTAAATCTTCGATTAAGGGTGCCAAGTATACGTCTATGTCATTCCCTGGTTGTTTAGGCCCAGAAATTAGCATAGATAACATCATGTACTTACGCTTCATACATAGCCACAGAGGTAAGTTATAAATCATAAGAATCACAGGCCATGTGCTATGCGAGATACTTTGAATACCATGCGGGTTCATTCCATCAGTAGACAATGACAACCGAAGGTTTCTTGCTTCTTTTCCAAATTCAGGATATTCAGTATCAACTTTACTCCATTATGGTGAGTCTGCCGGATGTCGCAACTTTCCATCAATAATTCTTTCATCTGCATGCCAAGTCAAGTGTCTTGAATCGGTCTCACTACGATACATGCGTCTAAATCTCGGAATTATAGGAAAATACCATAAGACTTTAGCAGGAGACAACTTTTTCTTATATCGAGGGGCACCACATTTAGGACACTCATTCAACGCTGCATACTCGTTTCGAAACAAAACGCAATCGTTTGGACATGCATGTATCTTATCATAGCTCATTCCAATAGAAGACAACATCTTTTTGGCTTCATACGTTCGATTGGGAAGAACATTATCCTCTGGTAGCATATCTTTCATAAGGGCTAATAACTCTGTGAAACTTTTATCCGACCATCCATTGTCCGCCTTTAAGTTGTACAACTTTAACACCGCAGACAATCTTGTGAATTTTGAACAACCAACATACAACGGTTTCTCTGCATCGCTTACCAACCTCTCAAACATTTTGGGACAATCCGCAAGATCTTCTTCAAGCGCTTCTGCAATCTCTTCGACTCGATCACAATCGTATGTGTCTGTGCAATCGTCGTTTGAAGCATACTTCCTATTACAACTCGACTCATCATTCCCGGTACTTTTCTCACCATGCATTGTCCAACATGTATAACTTCTATCAATTCCAAACCGTAGTAAATGAGATCCCAACTGATTCCCGTCAACCTTACCCCCGGCATAACAGCAACCCAAGCAAGGACACGGCATTCGAAGCGGGTCTTTGGAGTGCGCAACCGCAAACTCAACAAATTCCCATACCCCTTTCTCGTACTCTTTCGACAATCGGTTTGAATTCATCCATGTCTTATCCATGTCTTAATTAAGCTAAACAAAAACGGTCAAACTTTCACTCTTCACAAGTAACCCCTATGGCGAATTCAATTCACAAAGTTAGTAAGTACCTCACTTAACGGTAAACGAAATTGACATCATGAATATTAATTTTTTAAATAAAAAGATGTTTTAAGTTTGAACTTAATTTTTGATAGTCTTGTTTAAAATTTTTATTGTATGTGTAGTAGATGTGTCAACAAATATCAAAATACAATGACTAAAATTATGAGTCCACGAGGAAAGATGATAATACAATTTATATGTAATAATTACTATTCTAAGCAAACAAGAGCTTTGTTTGAAAAATGTTTTGAACATAAAAAAATATAAAGTAAAAATAACAATGATAGAAAGTTTTTGGGGGGTTAGGATGTAATTAGTGATTACTATGATTACAGTTATATCAATATCAATTATACACATTTTATCCCTTAATCCATATTTTCACTTCACTATACAAACTCAGCATTTAATTTCAGCAGATTCACACTCTTAACTATACAAACTCAGCATCTAAGCTTACTACTACTAAGCCATATGCTGGATGTTAAACAATATCTAAAGAGCAATATTAGAGACATTGATTGATCTATCTATTTCAAGCATATTGAAAAGAAATTCAAAAAAAGATATATAATATAATGATATTCACCAAAAAAGATATATAATATAATGATAGGCCAGTGGAATTGCAGATAAGGGTAGGATCAATACTGAAGAAGGTTCATATTTTGAAGGCAGGGTGTTCGAAGAGAGTGAAAAGTAAAGGGATATATAAGGCTTATATGCCTGGGAGAAGTGGAAGCAATGATGTGGGATTGAAGAGTTTGTTGTATTACTATGATGAGACTTGTCAACCTTATATATGGATTCATGATGTAGGGGGTGGTTCTTTGAGGATGGTGAAACAACAGTATGTGAGTCTTGAGGATTTGAGGGAGTGTTGTGAGATTAGGATCTTGAGGGATCAACATAAGGGTTGCATTTCGGTTTGTAAGAGAACTAGACCTGATTTATGCTGAATTTGAATGTCACACTATCTAGTCTACATTGTTTGTTATGGGTGGGAAATAACAGTTTCATTTCTTGATTTTCTGTTTTCTTTTATTGTGTGTTATGAATTGCAGAATATACATATCCATTGTCATGTTTGATTGTTTTATTATATGAATTTTCTTGGAGATATAATATAGGCCACATAGGTTATAATATTACCCATTATAAAAACAATGAAATAACAAGATGTATGTGATTACTGATCTAGGATTCTAGTTGATACTACTTTTCATTGTTCATGTATTATTTAACAAAAATACAATGGCACCTGCTGGTTACTACAGCAAATACATTCCCTCCCCATTCTTGATGTTGTTTTGGAAGGCATGTCCATGACTTTCATAACTGGAATTCCTAAATTGCACAGATTCAAGGCCATCCTATTACTTCCACTACTAATAGGGGACTCATTTAAAATTAGAACAAAGTTCTATATAGACCGTCCCTAACACATAAATTATTAGCACATAACATAATTTGATCCTAAAAGCTAGAGAGAAATACACTCTCATGTCTCAAGCCTTTCCCAAGAGATCAACTTTGCCTCCCAATCTTACGACTGCTTGTAACCCATTATTATTAGTCAAGCTGTCATTGGGTGCGTGTGTTCCTGCCAGTTTTCTTTAATTCTTGGATTATCAAGAACTCTCCTTGAGATTCTAACATAGGAGTTAAGTTCTCTTCATATATTTCTTTCCTATTGAAAAAAGAATCATTTTTTCTACTCTTCATTATCACTTTTGTGATGCATAATCAATTAAATAAATTAACACAACACAACAAAATCTCAAAATTATCTAAGTTCCAATCTTACACATATTAGTAAGTACCAATTCTCTAAATTCCAATTCCACTACATTATAGCGCATTAAAAATATAACCACCTCTAATATAAACAAATTCCTTCTACTCCTAACAAATTAAAAAATAAACACTACCATTTTTCTATTAATGTCTTATGTAACTAATAATTAAAGTTTACAAAATTTCAACTTCTAAGACACCAAACTAAAAAAAATTATCACATTATCACAATACAAACACAATACTTCAAACCAGAACATCAACTTAATAAAACAAACCAAAAACACATTATCACATTATCAGAATATTATACTTCAAACTAAAACACCAACCTACAACAACACAAGATTACTTCAAGATTAATTTTTAAAAACAATGTTAAATCTTACTTAAGATTTAAGAGGAAGGAAGCAAGTTAGATGAAGAAGATGGACTTCTAAAAACCAGTTCGTGAAGGCCTCTGGAGGATTGAGATTACTTGAATGAGAGAGATTACTTAAGCAATTGAACGAGAGAAAGAAATTGTTCTCCTGGAATGCGAAAATATCAATTGGTTAGGGTAAACAAGAACAATGACATTAGTTTCTTTGACATTAGTTTGAAGAAACTGTTGAATGAAGAGTATAAAAATACACAAGTTTCCTTGACATCCATCACAAATGACTTACTTAGTGAAGCATCAAAAGATAGTGATACCTTAAATCTTGAGAGCTTTAGCTTGTTTGTTGTTGAAAACAATTGAAATGGATAGTGAAGAACACTGTAAAGATCATTTTCATTAAAGAAACATTTGCACAGAATAAACATGTCATGATTAGGAATATTCAGCATTCAACAAGTAAAGAGGAATTAGCATCTGGGTAGTGAAGAATTGATGATACCTGATGATGATAACTGAGATTGACGCAAAGCTTTTCACTTCTAAGATACCGGAAATGGTGGCATAGCTAGAGGAAGACAGGGGAAGCTCGTTGTAGGTGTACTGGAAGGAGTTGATGGAGCGGAATTGTGGTTGGAAAGGGTGTAGACGGTGGGGGTGACCAACGGAGGCTGAAAAGCTTAAGACGAACGGCGGCGACGGCAATGAGGAAGCTCTGAACGAAAGAAATGAGGAAGACTAAAGAACAGATTTAGGGATTTTTAATTTTAATATAAAAACAACCTACGAAAGCGCTTTTAAAAAGCGCTGGCATAGGGTACCCTATAAGAGCGCTTCTGAGGTAAAAAGCGCTTTCGTAGGTCCCCCTATCAAAGCGCTTTTCAAAAGCGCTGGCATAGGGTTCCCTATAAGAGCGCTTTTCAAAAGCGCTTTCGTAGGTTAGATATTTCAAATACCTATGAAAGCGCTTTCTGAAAAGCGCTTTCGTAGGTAACCCTATGCCAGCGCTTTTAAAAAAGCGCCTTCGTAGGTTTCCCTTTTTTTTAATTTTGTTTTTTGTGAAGGCTATGGCAGCGCTTTTTCAATAAGCGCTTTAGTAGAGGCGCTGCTAAAACTTATTTTTGGCGTAGTGATTATGTCATCCTTTCTTATCCTTTTGGAAGTAATAGTATGAGAAACTTCTTTGTACTGATAACATTTTTCATATCAAGGTGAAAGCAACAAATGACGACACTTGTTGGAATTACACCAAACATATGGAGAATTCCGAATCAATCTTGATGAACAAGATTCAATCGACCAATCGAATTCTCTATTGTTCTTCACTCTTCACTCAAGTGAATCAATCAACCTTGGTTGCAAGATGATTCTGCTTCACAATTTTTAATGGAAGAAGAAAGAAAATATGAATTATGAAGAAAGGTGATTTAAGGTTTAACGAAAAATAAGGGAAGGAGAATTATCTGCAGAGCTTTTCTCTGCTCATAAACTGTGATTTTATTCTTTGCAACTTCAAGCATTATATAATGATAGTGGTTACCCCCTATTTATAGTTTTTTGGTTTGCTTGCTCCCTAAGAAAAACTTAAAATATAAAAGCCCTAAATACCCAATTCTGCTAACACTACAAATTAGGCCTAAGTCAAAATCCATGTTGAGGCTAACTCCTTCGACACTTCGACAACTATAAAACTTATACACATACTAAGCTATTTCAATGCAACCTTGTTCCTATCGAGCAACTTGCTTCAACACAAGGAATTACATTCTCAACACACCATCTAATTCATTCTGTCTAAGCTGTCTATATTCGTCATTGATCTTAATTTCTTAAACACTTCGACCTGCACTCTTTTTGTCACAAGTCTGCAATTTGATTCTCAGTTCTGCAATGTTCCAAGTTCATCTTCTCTTTGTCTACCTGCTCTCAAAGATAATGAAACCTCATTTGGATGTGCTTGCTTCGTCCATATTCTATCAGATTCTTTGTCGGAGATAGATGACATGTTATCAATCTTCATGGTAATTGCTTCATGGTTTTTTCCTATTATTTATTTGACCAAATTCACCATCCATGTTTCTTGACATGCACAAACATAAGCATATATGTACTCTATTTTTCACGATGATAATGTCACTATTGGTTATTTTCTTAAACTCCAAGCAACTAGTGTTCCACCTAGCGTAGACACATAACCAATTGTGGATTTTCGATCCTCATCATCAATGCACCAACTTGAGTTTATGTAATCCAATAACTTACATTATTTTCCTTCATCAGCTGCAGGAAACAGAATGCTATAGTCGAGAGTTCCTTTGAGATGCATTAGTATCCTCTTCGCCGCTGCTAGATGTGATACATTTGGCTTCTGCATGAATCTACTAACCATACCTACACTACATGCTAGATTAGGCCTTATGTGATAAAGGTATCCTAATGACCCAATAAATCTTATTTACTGACATCATCTTTATTTGAGTCTTTTGATAGTTGCACTATTGGTTCAACAGGTGTCGAAGTCAAATTTTAGTCTTCCATCTCAAATATCTTGAGTATTTCAGTTGCATATATTCTTTGATACATCACCAATCCTCCATTACTCTTATAGAGTTTGATGCCAATGAAGTATGAAATGTTGTCCATATCAGAAACTTTGAACTCCATTCTAAGATCACCTTTGAAGTCTTCGATCTCTTTATTGCAGCTACCTATTATCAACAAATCACTGACATAGAGATATAATATAAGAAATTAACTATTACTTTTTCTTACATATACTCCATGCTCAGTTGTGCACTTCACAAATTACTTCTCTCATAGTAAACTATATATCTTCTTATTCTAAGCTCTTGGAGCTTGTTTAAGTCCATATAAGGATTTATGTAGCATGTACACCTTTCTTTCTTCGCATTGTTTCACAAACCTAACTGGTTGTGCAACATAGACTTCTTCCTCTAAGGAACTATTCAGGAATGCATATTTCATATCCATGTGACATGTGTGCCAATTGTTCATGTTTGCTAGACCAACAACCAACCTAATTATTTTGATTCTAGCAATGGGTGAAAAAACATCATTAAAGTCGATTCCTTCTTTCTGAAGAAATCCTTTTGCCACAAGTTTATCCTCGTGTCGATTTACTTCCCCTTTGGGATTCAACTTCACCTTGTATACCCATTTCACATTGATTTCCTTTTTACCTTGAGGCAATTCGATAAGTGACCAAGTGTTATTGACTTTGATGAATTTCAGTTCCTCATTCATTGCTTTCATACACTTAAAATCCTTAAATGCCTCAGTTGCATTGACTGGTTCGACATCTGTATAGAAATCATAGTGTACCAACTCACCTTTATCATCAACAACATCATCTAATGTAATCACACATTCCTGCAACCTTGTAGACATGTGTATTTTTATTTGAGGTATGCTTGGGCCTGCTTGACCTCTGACTTCTTCTTGTCAAACTTCTCTTTTGACTTCATTTACTGGTTCTTTACATAAGATTTTCACTTAATCTTTCTTTACATTTTCAGTCAAACAGTATTCCTTAAGCTCATCTATGATCACATCCCTGTTGATCACTACTTACTCATTCATTGGGTCGGACAACTTATATCCTCCATTAAAATGATATCCTATTAGGATCATTTGACTCAACTTGTCATCAAGTTTTCTTCTCAGCTAATCTGACACATGTTTATATGTTATAGATCCAAATACTTTCAGGTGATTTAAGCTAGGCTGAACACTATACCAATATTCTCTTGGTGTGATTCCTTC